CCCCCTGAGATCACTCTTCCTCCCCACACCCACAGGAACTTGAGCCTGCTCTGTGGAGCTCTCCCAGGACACTGACTTCTGCTTCTGCCACTCCTGCACAAAACAATTTTTCCCTCAGAACAGGATTGAACCCAGGATCTTCACACGTAGCTAAATCCCCAGTCCTAGTTTTTAATTTTTTACTTCGAGACAGGGTCTTGCAAAGTTGTCCAGGTGGGGCTAAAACTTGCCATCCTCCTGCCTCAGCCTCCCAGAGTGCTAGGATTACAAAGTTCATTAAATACATGTCTCCTGCGGATCATAAACTCCTCAGGCCCCCTAATACCATCCTATGGGCCTAACAGTAGGTCTTCAAGGTAGTTTTTCTCCAAGTGCCACCTTTACTGGCAGGTGTTTTAGTCAGTTTCGCCTCACTAAGACAAAATATCTGACATCTACAACCAGAAGAAGTTTATTTTGGTTTGACAAGATTCAGTCCATGGTCAGCTGCTCCAAGGCGGGAACATCATGGTGGAAGGGTCTGGCGGAGGACAGCTGCTCGCCTCACGGTGAGCAGGAAGCAAAGAGACAAGGGAGGAGCTGGGGACAAGAACGCACCCTTCCAGGTCTCACCCCAGTGACCTCCTCCAACCAGGCCCCACCTCCTACAGCACATTTAGCCCTGACCTCACCCACACAACGGACCCACAGATGGGCACAGCGCTCCGTGATCCAACACCTTCCAAAGCCCCAGCTCTGAACCTGAGAGTTAGGAGGTTGTTCTTGATCTAAATCCTAACATGTAGTACTGACGTATAAGCCCCAGGCACACAGACATACAGGGGATTGTTTCTCAAACACTCATTCCAGCTCTCGCAAAACCCACCCCCAGCTTGAACCAAAGAAAGTACTCTTGGAGAGTTGGGGGGGATCCATGCCCCTTCGGGCACATTAGGTGGGAAAGGGGACTGGGTGACTGCACCCACGTTCCCTTCATTTCACTCCAGCCTCTCCCTCCTCTTTCCTCTACCTTCCTTTCTGTTTTGCTCTCATTTACTCTTTTGAACTCAGGACCTCATGATTGCCAGGCAATCACAGAACCAATGAGCTAACTCCCAGCCCCATTTATCTGTTTATTTTGTTGGTCTGCTTCATAGAGCCGTTGACCTATGGTTTTTCTAGACCTAAATAATACATTCACAGGTTTGATTTGGTTTTGGAATGTGTGTGTGTGTGTGTGTGTTTGTGTGTGTGTGTGTGTGTGTGTGTGTGTGTGTGCATGCCTGTGTTGGAGGTACTGGGGATGAAACTCAGGCTCACGTTTTTGTTTTCTATTTTGAGGCAGGGTATCCCTAAGTCACTAAGTTGTCCAGCCTGGGTTCCAACTTGCAATCCTCCTGCCTCAGCCTCCCACTGGGCACAGACCATTGTGCCTAGCTCAGGGTCTGTTCTTCTGCATACACATGAACAGCACCTCAGCCATCACAAGGAGAGCACCCCCTCCAAGGCCACGTTTTCTCCACAGCATGAAGAGACACGGGACCCGCGCTCAGCCTGGGTTCGCCCCCCAGGGGCTTGCAGTGGGCAAGAACATGGACACCCATTAGTCCCTGCGTCTCGGTGTCACCCGGTCCTCAAAGGGCGCTGCCGCTGCCGTGCTGGGGACAAAAGACAGGCGCCCCTGCTTCCAAAGTCAGGGCTGCCATCCTACCCTCCTGCCCCCATCTGCCAGCAGCGCCCAGGGCTTTCTGCCCGGGCCTGCGGGCAGGCACCGGCCACAGACGCCAGCTGGGGTCCCCACGCTTCTCCCCGAGCCTGCGTGAACCAGGATGATCTGGGGCATCGGCACCTCCGCTCCTGTGCAAGTCAGAGGGCTCTGTCTGGGCTGCTTCTCTGCCCCAGGACCCGAAAACATGATGGTGGGGGGAACCGCAGGGCCCGCGCTTTGCTCCCACTTCAGGGAGTCAGAAAAGGGAAGAGTCTCCGTCCTCGGGGATGGAAGGTGTCAGTAGGTCTCGCGTTACTGGGATACAACAGCTAACATCCCCAAGTTCGAGGAGGAGAGGAAGGCTGTGACCACCGACTCCACGACAGACAGGGCTCCGGGCACCCGGAAACAGGGAGTGGCCACGTCTGGGTTGCACAGTCCCTGACCAAACTTAAAAGTCCCCAAACCCAAGTTGGTGTCAAGTTCGCCCTCTGAGAGGAGTGCTTGAGGAGAACGGAGAGAATTTTCATTACTCTATCTTGTAGAAATCAGTATTAAATGACAATTTTTCATATATGTGTGTGTGTGTGTGTGTGTGTGTGTGTGTGGTTTTTTGTTTTGTTTTGTTTTGTTTTTGGTACCGGGGATTGATCTCAGGACCTTGTGCTTGTGATGGAGGCAGCGGCACCACTGAGCTAAATCCTCAGCCCCCAGCTGTATGTATTTTTTGTGACAGGGTCTTACAAAGTTGTCCAGACTGGCCTTGAACTTTCAATCCTCCTGCCTCAACCTCCTAGAGTGCTGGGATTATAGATATAATCCCTTACATAACCCCAGCTACTTATTTTTTTGTTGTGGTTTTCTTGTTTGTCTGTTTGTTTGAGACAGTCTTGCTGTGTAGCCCAGGCTGTCTTCTAACTCTCGGTGATGCTCCTGCCTCAGCCTCCCAAATGCTGGTTAGAGGCGTGCACCACCACACCCAGCTGATAACACTAAATGATGGTCCATTATACTCAAAAGTTGAAGGAATTAAGTCAACAAATGAAACACCAAACCGATTTCACCCTCTAGAAAGCCAAATCCAGCTGTTTGAGTAGCTTCACAGCAGCATTTTCACCACATGATGTTAACGTTAACAGGAACTCTATTAGCGCTGTGGTCTTATCTGCACTTAATTTTAATGCATTTTGGTTTTATAATTGGACAAGAGCTACTGCTTTATGTTTGTACATACTTGAAAAAGATTTCTGTTAAAGTAGTTCCAGATGATGACTCTACTTAAATTTGAAAAAAACAAAATGCTGTCTTATTTTGTCCACTGATCCTAAGAAATCCATCTACTCAGCGTCCCTCAACTGATGAAAAACATGTTTTGTGCGCACCAAGTTCTCCCGTCTTCATTCTGGGCCTGAAAGTAAGCACTGAACCTCTTTCTGTGAACTAGAGACAGCCCCCCCAAGCACTTTTTAGGACGCCCCAAAATGCGGATTAAAAAGACAAAGAACAAAAGCCAAATTAACAAGCCACCCTGGAAGGAAAAAACGCGAAGTTCCCAAATGAATGTGTTGCTCTCAAATAGAAACGGGGGGCCTCTCGCAAAAGGATGTTTTTACAGTCAGGGCAGGGACAGCCTGGCAGCGCCTCCATTTACATTTCTTTGTTGTAAAATGAATGGGCTCCTTCGGCTTCCAGCTCAAGCCCGGGAGAGACGCGGAGGCCGTGCTTACTTTCCAAAGTGAAACTCGAAGCCACCGCAAGGCACAAAAGGCTGTGAGTCACCGGAAGAGGTCACCCCCGAGCAACCCCATTCAAAGCCACACAGGCTCAATGGACTTCCTGCCTCGCGGAAAAGATCCCAGCCGCACCGCGCTCGGCCCCAGGCCTCAGGAATCCGACCCGCTCCCTCCTGTGAGCCCCAACCCTCCCTGCCCACCCACTCCCACTCCTCGGGAGAGTCCCTGGCCAAGCCAGCATCTGACCTGGGTGCCAAGGCCTCTTCCGGAGAGCGGCTGAGGCAGGAGGATCTCTCAGTCCCTCTGTCACTGAGTATTCAGTGCCTGAACACAGCAAGCCGGTGAAAGCGGACCATGGAAAGGAGCACGCTCCAGAGTCTCTTGAAGGATCAGGAGCCAGGGTGAGGTGCAGCACACCTGTCACCCCAGAACTCTGGGAGGCTGGGGCAGGAGGATGACAATTTTGAGCCCAGCCTTAGCAACTTAGCGACTTGGTTAAAACCTGGCTCAAAATAAAAAATAAAATAAAATAAAATAAAATAAAAAGGGCTGCGTGTATAGTTCAGTAGGAATGACCTGAGTTCGATCCCCAGTAATGAAAAAAAAAAAGATTGCAGGCCCACTTGCCCAGTTTTTCATTCAGCTGGTCCAAACTTAGGGCCCAAGAATTGGAATTTCTAGCCAGGCTGGGGCACGCCTGTAATCCCAGCACTCGGGAGGCAGAGGCAGGAGGATTGCCATGAGTTCGAGGCCAGTCTGGGCTACACAGTGAATTCAAGGCTAGCATGGGACTACATGGCCAGACCGTCTCAAAAGAGGAACCGAATCTATTTGTAAGACACTTCCAGGGCTGAGGCCACACTCTGAGAACCTCAAACCAAAATGGACTCAGAGCTCAGGCTACAGGGTTAGAGGTCTCTCCGGCACCAGCCGCCGCTCGGCAAAGTCCCCAGCACAACCCACGCGGCCCCCACGCCTGCCAATCCCGTCCCACCAAAGCGAGCAGACGGCGCCCCCAAGTGGCAGCTGGC